TGACACTGGCAATCAAACCGTGGGCAACCAGGCTACTCATGAGCTTTGAATGAAAACAGCTTATAGCAATGATTAGCTTCGAGGTTAACATGAAGCACGGTTGTTTCAGCAAATCTGTAGATTCACGAAACTGGGTTAACTTCTGTATTACTGCTCGTTTGATATGACCTCATTTTAGTTAGAAAGAGTAGGTCTTTTTGTAAAATACAACCCGGTTAGAACAAAGCGCGAACTTATTCCTAATCCCTCGGAAAATTTGCTCATAATAGCTTTTTAATCGGTAACGCAATAAGCCCATACTATCAAATCATTCCGGTACACTTTTAATCTGACCAGGGAAATAAGCGGGGTGATAGCAAATATTTAGCAAAAGGATATGAACGCTCAAATTACTGCATATATCCTACAGTTTGGGGAAGTGCCGCATTTATGGTGGCCTCATGGTGTGGCAACTGTTTCTGATACATCAGCGCTCTCGTTCGAGATACAAACTGTGGCTTAGTAAGGATTAGCAAACTGGATACATTTTTACAATTCCAGTACGATTTTCAGCTTCTTTTGGCCAGCTGACCCTAACACTGTATTCTGTTAACTTTTTTATTGAATACATGATAATACAAACAATTGTATACGGAAGTGGAAAATGGACAACCAAAGGCCTGTTGTATGGTGAACTTCGGGCCACGTTGGTGCAACTCACATACACATGACTACCGGGGTGATGAGTCGATGACTTTAAACGCTTGTCCAACACTGCTCATTGTACTCGGCCGATTTTTCATGCATGAGCGCACAAATAAATCGCTTTAATCCCTGCTTAAGTTACAAGTTTCTTCTCCCCACCCTCTCGCATTGAACACTATTTCAAGCTTCCTACGGATCCCCATATCCTTTCCACGATTCTGTAACGATTTGAACTAGGATGTTCAAGAATGATTGTCCCGCAGATCCGAGCCATCCGTGATCTGACTTTCACATTACGAAACACCCGCATAGGTACGAGATGATAATGTGACTTATTACCGTCTGTCTGAAGGTAAGAAAGTGCATTTGAGCTTTAGCCGCACATCTCTGTTAGGAACCTTTTGGGGGCTAGGTTACGGTTGATATTAGCACTGTGAGTTCCATCTGGATTCAAGCCACTGGCGAGACGCAATTACAAAGAAACAGCTGTGTAATTTACATTCAGCTGAGAGCATCTTCCAAACTGTTGGTCAGAATCATCGGAGCTGAAATCATGCAAAAAGTATGGATTTTCTTTGGATAGAAAACCTGAGGGTCATGACTTCAGCAATCTCCCAATTAATTACCAGTATAATCAAATGAAAATTGCGAACTAAATCAGGTGAAATAGTCTACAGGTTGTCCCCGATTTGCTTACCGCAGTTGGATATCACGCTAGTACTGAACATATACCACTGAGTGACAAAATGTAGATGATGTACACTTCATAAAAGCGAAGACCAACTGTTCACTTGTGATAACCAGTAAACTAAGCCCCGGGGTTTTGTGTTACAAATTGAATAAGGCCGTACTTAGGAAGACACAATGTTGAACCGAACGATTGTAAAGCATCTTATCAATGAATCTAAACGAGATCTTCATAAACCACCGTTCCCGCCGTTGTTGATTCCAGTTTCAGTGTCTGCATATTCAATTTCACCCGTCATGCCACATAGAATTAACCTTCAATAAAAATGGATGGCCTCGACGGGTTCCAATATCTGTCGGTTTTAATATTCAATTCAAATCACTTTTTATCAGGTTACGAAAATGTTTTACTTTTCATTTCTCCACGAGACAAACCCTAACATTTTTCTCTTTAAATACCACACCTAATATGAATGTAGGTATTCTTATAAACTGCCATATCTCGATATGCCATAATATGATTGAAGGGTGGGAGTGGCCCTGTGGTAACGTCACCACATTATCACCCCGGAGAACGTGTGTTAGGATCCCAGCACCACAGCCTGATCCCCGTTGTGTTGTTTGGCAGCCCTTTGATCGGTCGCTTCCTCCTTCCTGAAAATTATATGATTATGTATTTAGTGAGCGGAAGGATAAATGAGAGAAAAATAAGAAAGCTAATGAAACGCACCCCAACAAAACACAGATAATCGTGTGAAGTTTATAGCTAACTGATACCTTTGTGAAATACAAAATATTTATATACATATACACATAAATAGCTATACCTCCTGCATTATTTCTCAGTACTTTATTGTTTTAATGGGTTTTCGGACCTGGATCTATACTCTATCGAAAATTTTTGACTTCTGTTTGATTTCATTTGACCTTTCTCTGATGAACTTTTACCGGGAAATCCAGTGAACCGCAAAGGAGCATTAAACAAAGGTCGCACTGTGACACACACAGACACTCCACAAACAAATATGTCAACGTTTCCGACGTGTTAGTTACCTGTTATTGAGCCTTCTATAGTGGGATGTGTGTGTATGTGTGTGCATGTCTGCCCCCGCAATATCCACACTGTTGCCTCGGTGGATAGTAAACACCTAAAGTAATTATCTGTTGATGGATAAATCACTATTCTTCTAATCGGAACAGATGACCGATTTACTGTCTACCCCATAATGCTCATTCAATCGGCATTCGTTAAAACGTCTCGTCATGTCTGCGCACGGACAGTAGAACTAAACGGTTCACTCTGCCAGTTTTAATTATACAAATGACTTTGCTTAGGGAGTAAAACAGCGCTATAGTTCCTCTTATCAATCCCTCCAGACGATGCAACCATCAACTAAGGGACAAACACTATTCCTTGATAAATTGATGAAACACTTCAGGACAGCCTAGCAATCAATTTTAAAAGACACTAAACCGGTTAATGAAACCCAATTAGATTCTAATTTCCGTCTCTCCAATATTACTTTGGAAAGTCATATATTTCACCAGATTATAGCTACGCACCGGTACGTCTTATATAATTGTTAACTCAAACACTTCCGTTTGGCGATTCCAATTTCCACTAGCGTTGAGTAGAACTGAGTTGATGATCATCATTTTACCGTAGTTGATCGGCACGCGTTCCATGTGTTAGAAACAGAGAGTCGTTATTATCAAATTGTGGAACCTCTTTTCAACCGACTGAATATCACGGAAGATTGACCTATCCACATGTGCAACCCGAATGCTCACAAACGCAGCTAGAGGTTTCTCAATTCAGAACTGGGCAAACTCCATTTCCCAGAATATGATTACCCTTTCTGCTTCAGTAGTCACACTAGACAACTGAAGCATATGTGAAGCTAATATTCACCTCCGTAGAGTGATTCAATCAACATTATCCAATCATCTAATACAGAACACAATAACGCATTTCGAATTTTATTTGTGAGCAGCTTCCGTTGGACCAGTGATCCGAGTAGATGTTGTCTCGTTGATTGCTGTTTCAGTCATTCGGTGCAAGGCATACACAGCGATTCCACCAAAATCGACCAAGCAAGTAGTTGTAGGGAAAATAGTTTTTAGGTCAGTACGCTGTCTTTTGCAGCCGTAAACGTGAATCCATACTCTGGATTGAAATAATTGCCCAATTCCTTTTTCATTGAGCAAATCTCCGTCAATTGTCATCGGTATTGTTTGTTAAGTAACTTTAATTAAATACTACAATTGACCCTTGTACTATTCTTACGGAAACTAAGCTTAACGATCACGTCATCATAAAAAATGGCTTTGATCAGCAAGCCAATTCAATAAAAGCTTTATGCACCCAAAGGGTGAATTTTCACTAGTTTTCGGTCTTTACAGTGGATAGATAAAACCAATTGCAAACATAAAGAACATATAAGAAATTCTACAGTTTAGTAAATGAGAGAAAAAATTAGTGCAAGATTTTTTCCCTGAGGTGGGTGAGAATATTCTGACGATTAACTAGTAACCGAGCTAGGTACGGAATTACACTGTTTCGATATGTGGAAGTACGTACAAGAACGAGTTGATATTGGGAGCGAGTTCGGGGATTTTACAGGGCTTTCGCGATATCTTGGTGCAAGCAGTGCCCCTGATCACGTGTTATCCCGTCAATGAATGTATCCCTAGCGTCAAAATGCTTGGAAATAAAGAAAGCAACCAAAACAACTCTATCAACTCCACTGTAGCAGGATAAAAGTTTAAGAGATCTCGAAAATAAAGTGAAGTCTTTTTCTTTCTGGCCAGAGATAAAATTTGGGGAGCAATATAGCTAGTGTGGAAGAATGCAGGCAATCACAAATTCAAGAATAAGATTATGTGGTACGGCCAGTTTCCTGAGCCTGTGAGCATAGAAGGACAGTTTTGTAAATTTAGCGAAAACGTCGATGACATGAGCAGACCAGAACAGGTTATGGGTTAGGGTGAAACCGAGGTATTTAAGAGATACATATTTATGAATGCTTTGATTGTTAAGTCTAAGATCAGCGAGATTATTATATAATGAAAGATAACGAGGACCGGTTTTAAGACTTAATGGAACTTCAGTGCACATATTGATGTTAAGTACAAGGGATCGGGTCACAAACCAATCGTGAAGTTCACTAAGCCTGTCCTGGAGAGGTCGC